CAATGTATTAATTACAGTAACTGTTCTACTAACCTGTTCTGAAACCATCTCATTGCTATTTCTTTCTGAGTAAAATTAACAAAAATAAAAGTTGTACACACAATTTTATTATACCATGTGCATGTCTATGTGTCTCTGATAAGAGAGATTTACATGAAATATGAGTAGTAGTGGAGAAAACAATCCAATCTTTTCCCCTAGAATCTAAGTACATTCTTTCTATATGGAAATGTGCTTTTCCTCCTCACTTCCTGTCAACAAAACACATATCCTGTAAAACTCCTAACCTGAATATCAGATTTACACTCATATTTGTATGCGTCTTTCAAGTATTGAGTATAGGTGTGAAAACATAACTCCACCTCATTTTGCTCGGTTTTGTCAGTTTTACAAGGTGTGTGTAGAAGTGGTAGAAGAGATAGTGAATGTACAATATATTCCAGCAGGTTTGATGTTAGTGATCACATACATAGTACACTTAAGGCTTGACTGTTAAGATTACTAAGTGGCAGGTATACCCACATGTATGTAAAGTCCCTAACTCAAGATGTGGTTTTCTGTTTCATTTTTCAGATATGGGACACACACACATGGATATTTTAAGAAGCTGGGAATTCCTGGTCCAAAACCTCTGCCTTTTTTAGGGAATCTTCAGTCCTATTCCAAGGTGAGTTGCACTTGTGAAATTTCATTTCTTCTTCTGTTTTCAAGCACTACCCTATTTCAATGGATAACTGTGGTCCTTGGAAGAAAATTCTGAAGTTTCTGTCTTCTACAGTAACTGTGAATTCCTCTGGCAAGTACAGTATGTTTTCCCTGAGGCTTTGTGTTGAAATATGTGGAGACTGAGTTTTGTCTCAATAGCAGAAAAATTCTCTGCATGCTCAGCAAGAAGTGCCCAGGGCCTAGAATTCAGGTGACATGAACACTGAAGGATTTTTTTTTGCTCAGTGCATACTCCTTGGTGGCTCAGTTGTAATTTATCAATATTTAGGTAAATACACACAAGCATTGCCTTGAAGTAACTTGTGAACATCTGCACCACAGATTCAGCTTCTCATATTCATACCAGTGTGCATGGGTAGCTATTGATTTTTTATCTACTGCATAGTCCTAGAGTTCCAAATAATCACATAGTGCAAGTTTTCCAAAGAGGAATATTTGCAAATATTTAATATTTGTCTGAAACTGCAAAATGTTCAGAGATTAATTCTTCATTTTAAACCTGCTTTTTCAGTCTCTTTTTATTTTTATTTACTTATTTTTTTATTACTTTTGTTGAGAAACAAATAGCTATGAGAAAGTTTGGAAACAGGTTAATACAATAATTAATGCATTGCATATTGTTGTTTTTGTAGTAGTTATTCATAGTACAAGATGCCAATATGATATCCTGTATAAACAGTATTGGTGCAAATATTTCTTCTCACTGAATTAAGAGAAAGTAGCTGTATATCTATCCTAACTAATATATATATACAGTTACAAAATGATAATTATTCATACCTCTTTTTGTTTAGATTTTTCAGGGATTGGTATTTTATTGGCATGTAAATACTGTAGGTGCATGTATTCAGCAAAATAATCCAATATAGTTCATTAGTCCATAATAGTATTGGGCTATCCATAGGACTTGCAGTGTCAGAAGTTCTTGACCTGAGCCTTTTACAGTTCAGCATATTTTAATATGGCTTTACTTTTTATACCTTATTTTTATACTTTCCTCCGGAATTGTTAAGACCAAGATAAAACAAGACCTAATATAACAAGAAATGCAACTTCTGTATCTGACAAGGTTGGTCAAATCCCCTCAGGATTTACCCTGAATCCCTGTACTGTAGTTTGCAGATCTTTTGTCAGTGCCAACCATGTGGATGAGTCATGGCCATTGCTTGACCAGTTTGCTCTCTGTGAAAGCCTAAGAAAATGTTTTTTCTCCATGTGACTCTCTTTGGACACACACTACATCATCGATCACATTCCCTTGTGGCCCGAGAATTTCCTTGATCAGAAAACTTGTGACACCACTGAGTTAAAGGATTTAATCTGCTCTTCCTCCTCATTATATATATCAGCAAATTCAGGTGTAGAATAAGAACCATCTATGTTATACTTTATTTCTTTTTCTTCACAGGCAGCACTGCATGTGTGTGTTTGAACAGGGAATGGGCATAATTGAGGATGGGTCTTAGCTACAATGCTGTTGTGAACTTTACTCCTTCCCTGGCACTAGTCAGATTTTCCCTGGCCCACATAAAAAGGTCAGAAGCAGTCCCTGAGTGCAGGGTGTGCTTTTACAACATTTCCTTTCCCAAGAAATTGGGATTATATCTCAGGTCATATTTTCATAATGAATGGCTTTGCCTAATTGCTGACTCAGAGTTTCTTGTTGCATTTCCCTCAGAAAATGCAATCTTTAGCCTCATTATTCCTACATCATTTAATAGATGCACCCAGTAGTCAACATGTCTGATATCTACTTTTTCATTGATAAAATTCATGGATGCAACTTACAGCAGGAGGATTAGGTTCTGTATCATGGAGTGCAAACCATGTCAGTGTTTAGTTTGCTTGTCTATGTGTAGAATTGGCATCTCTCATCTTTCTATGATAAGCTGAGACATTGACTAACTTTTTCAACATCCAACAGAAACTCAATGTCTGTGCCTCTATATCCATAGAAGGGACGACTCGGAGCTACATAATTTTATTTGTTTTTAATGTTTTGGTTTTTCTGAAACAGGCTCTCACTACACAGTTAAGGATAGCCTCAAATTCACACAACCTTCTTACCTCAACTTCCTGAATATTTGAATTGCAGGCATATGCCACTCATCCTGGCAACTCCAGAATTTAGAAACAACATATGCACAACAAAAATTCCTTGGGGGAATTTCTTACATTTGATACACAAGAATAAGTCTTTTGAAATGTACTATACTTGAGAAAAATTAAAAATTTTTCTCAAAACTATAATTCTCCATGGCATGTATTTCTTGTCCGTCATTGTCTATTTAGATATATGTGAATGGCCATATCTTCTGCCTAAAAGGGAGGTATAGTCTGAATTATTGGGTTTCCAAGCATTCTCTCCACAGTTAGAGATGTGGCCACTTCATTTTTTACAGCAATGAAATTATAGTTTCATTTTCTTCCCAGGGTCAATGGTTTTTTGATACAGAGTGTCATAAAAAGTATGGAAAAATTTGGGGGTGAGTATTCAGGAAACTTCCAATGGGTAAACTTGTGAGGGGATACTCTTTGAAATGAGGACAAAGTTGGCAATCAGCTCTTGGGTGGAAGCTATGTATTGGGAGGATTTTGGAATCTTATCCTGCCAAGGACCATGTCTTCAGGTGCACAATATAATTAGGTTGAGAACACCTTGAGTTTTTACTTTTGTTATGTGCCTAGGTAAATACACAGATATTTTCTTTACTTCATTCTTCTCGCTGTGAGGTCAAGATGTAGTTCTTGCTTTAATCACTGTGTTCCCCTGAAGGTTTGTGTCCTTAATGAGTTTGGAGTCAGGTGTGATTCCTTTGAAGCCACTCTATCCTTTCAGAGATACTGCAGGTTTAGAGAGATGTGAAAGAAGTGTAATCATAACATTTGTTGCATAAGCACATGGATTAATGCTTTCCATTTTCTCACTTCTTCCTATTCCCTGATTGGTTCTCAGAATCCCCAGAACTAGCCAGATGGCTCTGCTGATTTCACACAGCCCATCATAACCTTGTGACACAATGGCAATAGATTACAATGTTAGATATTCACTGACACAACTCCCACTCTCTATGTGCCTTTGATACATATAAGCACACCGACCTTTGGGGTTTTCTTTTATTTTTTATTTTAAAGAGAGATAAAAATAATGAAAAAGATGCAGAATTGCATAGAAATTATATCAATTTTAATAGTAAAATAAAGTTTAAGTACTGCTCATGTTGGAGAGTGAAATGAAAGCACTGCAAATACTGTGTCACTCCTGAAATCCACTCAACCTTAACTGAGAAATAAACACAGGAAAAACTTCATAGCAGCAATAGCCATATCTATTCCACCTAAACTTAAGAATATTCAAAAAGTCATTTCTAATTATGATGCTTTTAAAGTTATTTTGTCTTTAATGCCTATTTTTTACATGAGCTGCATTGATTTTGGTTCTGTGAAGAGTTCAGGGCTCCCAGTAGTCACAAAGTCTAACTGAAAAGAGAAATTCTTTTTTATTATATAAGAATCAAAGTCCAGGTATTACTGGGTAGGGGACAAGTTGTAAAGTCTGGTACATTATGTTGAATCAGCTCTGCTTTCTCAAAACAGGTTATATGAAGGTAGACAACCAGTTTTATCAATTGCAGATCCAGATGTGATCAAAACACTGCTTGTCAAAGAATTTTACTCTTCCTTCACCAACCGTCGGGTAGGCATTCATATTTTTTAATTATTAAACTTAGAGTCTTAAAAATTACATTTTCATAGTGAATTAATAAAACAACAAATGGAGTTTCCATTATTCTGGTTTTCCTATTGATAATGCCTTGCATAATTGTAACATTTTTCTTTTTTTAACTATTCACAAACATTTTATTATAAATTATATACAAAATTTTTCTAAAATTAATGTCTGATCCTTTAATCAATTTATGGAGATGAAATTTGTATTTTTGTTCTTTTTAATGATACATTAGCTTGACCATTTGTTATGCATGGGATATCTTTGATGTTTTAAAAATGTTCAAAGCTTTTACAAAAAATTCAGTATATGTTATACTTCATTTCTAGATGTACCCCTAAAGTGTCATGTGATTTTAGGCATGACCTTTGGAAAGTGACTGGATTATTGGGCATTACAGCTCAATTACTATTAGAAAGTGTGAATAGGTCAGAACAAATGGGTCACTGGTCTGGGGATGTAGCTCAGCAGCACAGGGCCTGCCTGAGAGTTTCAGGTTAGCCCAGTATTCAGACTGTGGCATAAGTATTTTTTTTCATAATTTTATTGACAAACAGATAGCAATGAGACAGTTTCAAATCAAATCGGTAGGACAGTTTCAATAACTAACACACTGCATATATTCTACTTAGTGGTTAATTGCTGTACAAGATGTGGACTTGAGATCCTATTTACAAACACCATTAGAACAAATCATTCTATTCATTAAGAAAATGTAACTATATATCTATCCTAACCACTTCGAATAACATTTTTCTTGTTAATATGGTTAAAGGAATTTTTTATTAATATTAGTGAGGAACAAATAGCAATGAGACAGTTTTAAAACTGAATAGTAGAACAGTTTAAATAATTAGTAGATTGCATATTGTTATCTTCATAGTACTTGTTTATAGTACAAGATGCAAATATGGTACCCTGTCCAAACATGATTAGTACAAATATTTCTTCTCATTGAGGTTTTTTTGTTTTGTTTTTTGTGGAGCCGGGGATTGAACTCAGGCCCTTGCGCCTGCCCGGGAAGCGCTTATTCCACTGAGCCATCTCCCCGGCCCTTTCTTCTCATTGAGCTAAGAGAAAGTAGCTGTATTTCTATCCTAATTATTTTGTATATACAGACACAAAATGGTCCTTTATTTATATCCCCTTTTTTGATTAGTTTTGTCAAAGATTGGTATTCCATTGCCATTTAACTATTGTAGGTATGAGAATTCAGCAAAGTAATCAGTTTACTCCAATAGTTCATAATAGTTGTGGGTTATCCATAGGACTAACAAAAATCAAATTGCACATGCAATACTTGAAACGTTAAAAGAGATTGATACAAATGAAACACATTCAGTGCAGTGACATTTCTTCAGTTTAATCCTGCAATCATTTTATGAGTGTAAGTGTTTTTGTGCACATGTGTATTAATTTCTCTGTGTATCTCCATGCAAATTCATCACAGGTATGTAATTATGCAAGCGTGAACACAAAGCACCGTTCTGTTCTTCCAGCATAAGTCTCCTTCTTCTAGTCTTTTATTCATAAAAGGTTCTCATGTCATCCATGTTTATTGTAGAACTATACATTACCCTATAAAAGGATTCTGGAATATAAAGGTTGAAACCATCCCAGATGGCTGGGTGTCCCACACACACTCAGAGGATGTAAGGTATTTATGTAAAATATGTATTAAGCATCTGGCTTGGGATCTCCCACTTGACAGAAAACCACTAAATATTTCTTAAACAGGACATCAATGTTCCACCAGTCTTCTACAAGTACTCAATCTTTTTATACTTCTTTACAATGAAACTTCTTTAACATTGAACCCTAGCCTATTCGTCCAACAATCTTGATGAAAAACTCCATGAATGCACTTGAAGATGAACAATGGAAGAGAGTACGGACATTGTTATCACCCACTTTCACCAGTGGAAAACTGAAAGAAGTAAGCATGTATGAGGGTTTGTAACTGAAAATTCAAAGAATGAGTTTGTGGGAAAGTACAAAGATCTTCATCTCTTTTTACAGGATAGCCTCCTGCAGATGAGCTACTAAGAATGAGTTTTCCCTTTATGACCTAGGAAACATTACACAATTATTTGCAAAATGCTAGAAATAGGTTCATGACTCATAATGCCTTGTATTTTGGGATTTGTGTGTGTGAATTTAGCTGAATATTATGCTATTCTTTTCTTAGATGTTCCCCATTATTGAACAGTATGCAGATGCGTTGTTGAAAAACCTGAAGCGAGAAGCAGAGAAAGGTGCTCCAGTATCCATGAAAGAGTAAGTTTCAGGACACCTACTGGGCTTCTGAGCTCTATATGGGACCCTCCAGTTCCCTGCCAGGGAGCTGACATCCCCACTTCTGAGTTACTCCGGGACATACAAGTTTATCTGTGAAAGAGTGGGCAGATAATGAGCCTTCCAATTGTGGGAAGCTTCCAGAAGAACGCAGGGTGCCTAGAGTAAAAAGATTTGACTTCCCTATGCCAAGGAAACATGTTTACTTGAGCTGGTTATTTGTCAGCTTGTATATTCTAGAGAATATAATACACAGTGTATGAAGAAGAAATGCAATCCTAACAGAGTTATGAGTGTAAAGGATGAGAACAATAAGAGAAGAAAGTACTTGGTACAGAGAGAAAAGCAATGGGTGTGTGAGGAAATATACACTCTAAAACCAAGAACAACATAGACCTCATTATGATTTGTGTCTGGTTGTCTCCCCAAAGCCTCATGTTGCCATGGGAAGGCTTATAGAGTTTGTGATTAATTTTTGATCCAATTCTGGGATTGTGGGTGTGAGTGCTACACTTGCCCTAACAGGTTAATATGCATCCAAGTGTAAGGAGGGAAAAGCAGCTAGCTAGCTGTCTTAGCTGCAGCTGCTCCTTTTGCACTTTGCTATTCTGATGACATGAACAGCTGTAATTTTCATGTACCACTATTACTTGAAGCAGGAAATTGTGGACTGAAACCTCCACTAACTGTGAGCTAAGTAAAGTTTTCCTTCCTTAGGTTTGGTAGACATGTATTTTTACCCAGCAATGGGAACAGAGTAACCAAGACAAACTTCCTCATGATTTGTCTAAATATGCCTGAAGTACTCTACATATTGTCCCTTCCCAGTACTTCTTCATGTAGGGCAACCATATGAATTATTATGTAAATATGGGGGGTTTGGTTCATGAAGGATGATGAATCTCAACTCTTCTAGAAGGCTTAAATATAGGCATCACCCAAATCAGTGTTGCACTGCCTTATTATTT